GTAGGTCAACGGAAAGGACACCAGTTTCCGTGCCAGAAACACAAGAAAAGCCCACGCACTCCGGACCTGTACTCTACTACGTTGCGACCGAGGACAGTCGCGTTTAAGGAGGGAAGAGTTAACACCCAAAATAATACAATTTCTCAGACAGAGGAAATGAGTAAGCATTGATTGCACAACAAACAGCAAAGCAATGCCCTCAATAATAGAATTTCCCAAACCGAAGAAGAGAGCATTAATTGCACAACTAACAGCAAAGCAATGCTCTCAATTAAGTTCTAACGAACTTAGCTTGCACCTTTTGGTCAGCGATCGTGGGAATGCAGAATAGCCAATTTCCAAAGTTGATCGAACTCAACTTAGTGCATACAACAAAAACTATAATTAAAATGCACTGGCCAATTACAATTAAGTTTGGCCAACGGCGACGGCTACCAAGAGCAGCAACCAATAATATGAAAGAACGTCAGCAGAAACATCAACAGCGGCAGAGACGGCGGCAGCGATGGAGCGACGCGTAGCTATAAAAACAATTGTTTAATCTAAGTAAGTTAGTTCTTAATCCAACTCAATAAAGGAAAGTTTGATTTTTTTATATAAAAATCATAACCAATCTTTTAACTTATACAAGCAACATTAATACACATAGACAATCAAAGGGGATACATAAATATAGTTGCCGTATACTGTCCACCACGCTTTTCCATTTCCGAAGAAGTATTTGTAAAATTTAGTCGACTAGATGACCGCTTTATAGCTGCTGGCGACTTTAACGCAAAACACAGCCGCTGGGGATCACGACTCACCAGCTTCAAGGGAAGACAATTGTTCAATTGTTCCCTTTGGTCAAGCCTAAATACTGGCCAACAGATCCAAAAAAGAAACCTGACTTGATTGATTTTGCTGTTGCCGGAATAGTGCATCAGTCTTATACGCGCGTAGAGCACTTATCAGATCTATCATCGGATCACTCTCCAATCTAACTTCACCTCTCTGACCATCCAAAGCCCACAATTTCAAACTTCTAGTAAATGAGTTTGGCTGAAATACAGAAAGTACATAACTACCCACATTGGTGAATGTTTAATCATTTCTGGTGAAGAAAGCATCAACAGCTCAGTGGAAGCATTAGTGTATGTTATGTCATTGGCAGCACAACACTCCTCGCCAATAATAACAGCCAATAAACCATTCAACCTTTATTAAAGATCTGATTCGCAATAAGAGAGTGGAAAACTCATAAATCACCTGCTTCGAAGGAGCGGTTAAAACTAGACAAGAACATACTATGTAAAGCTTTAGAAGATAAGAAAAAACGAGCTAAAGTATCCTTTATGGAACGACTCTCTCCAAAAAGGAAACGATATCCACTGTGAAAAGCTAAATCAGGCATATGCCCACCAATCGAGCGTGAATCACGTTTTCAAACACAAACAGGAGATTGGGCTCGCAGCAACGAAGAGAGGGCAAATATATTTGCCGTTTACCTAGAAAACGTCCTTAAACCACTTGTATATAGGTGGTTGCAAATGACGGTAATTGGTAGTGCCTAATGCGATTCTTAATAAGAATGCCAGCACTTCCATGACCTTTACTATCGGGATGATTTGTCGCATAAAAAGTAAAGCCATTAAGATGAATGTAATTTTTGTTCGTTAAGTGAGTCTCTGATATAAGCAACAAAAAGCTTTGTGTTCCTAATAATCGACAATCATAAAGCGATCCCGCCTATCATATTCCAATCAGAAGAAGATACAGTCATAATATGTCAAGATTGAAAAAGCGTCGGCCCACGATTTAATCTCCCCTAACCCTAAAATGATCTTTGAATTGCAGAGCTGTGCACTATATTTTCTCACCGTAACATTTTACAGCACATTATCCTCAGCAATGGAAGAAGTCTGTCATCACAATGATCCACAAATCCGGAAAGGACAAGATCCAGCCACCATCATATAGGTCAATCTGCCTTCTGCCGTGTATATCAATGATATTTGAATAGCTGCTTCTGCGCCGTAATGGCCCATAATGTCATCCTAATGCACCAATTTGGCTTCCGCAAAACCATTGAACCAGTAAACTGGATAACATCTGAGATAAGAATTGCATTTCAAGGGCGAGAGTGTTGCTCAGCTGTTTGTCTTTAAAAGACGAAATCGAGAAGGTTAAAGCCAAGTACACGGTCAAGCTTCTGACCCGTCCTAATAGACTTGCGCGGTCTTTAATCTGGAAGTTTGGCCATACACGACTCCTCCGAAGAAACTTCCCCACCCACCAATAATAGTAAGCCGCTTTTAAAATAAAATTAATTGTAATTATTTAAATAATGTTGAATATCCCATATTCAAAAATAACATTTAGTAAGTTTTAGATCTGGTATCCCTAAACGGTATTTTTGACTTTGTAATAGTCTGGTCTCATTTTCAATATCCGCTCTCTCTTTTTCTGCGGTGTTGCTCGGAAGTGGTTGTGTTTGAAAAGAATAAAATAATAAATCAAAATATATCCTATCAATTCTTTGCCTTTTGTTAGTTTTTATTCAAGTTTTCAATAGGTTATGGGCCCAGGCTACGCCTATTATAATTAGATCCGTGAAATTTTTATTTGCTTTGTGAAATTACTTTGGTTTGCCCCACGTTGTGAAATTCTTGTGAAATTGTAGAATTCTGTGTTACACACATACATATATACATATAGCTGTATTTGCGTTTGCGAAAAGTAGCGTGGAAAAAGCAAAACGCAACCATAAGCCTTTTGACGGCGAAAAGTACTCGGTGTGGAAATTCAGAATAAGAGCCCTTTTCGCAGAATTAAGTAATTGATGAGAATTGATAGAATATCTTAGTGACTCCTTTCTCAACTTTGCGACGAGCGACAGTACGGCGCGACAAATTCTTAGGAATTTGGACGCGATCTATGAGCGCAGGAGCCTCGCGTTGCAGTTAGCGATTAGAAAGAGATTGATGTCGCTTAAGTTGCAGAGTGAGACAACACTATTATGTCTTTCCAGTTTTTACGATGAACTAATGAGTGAGTTGTTGGCTTCAGGAGCAAAAATCGAAGAAATGGACAAAGTATCGCACTTGCTTTTGACCTTGCCATCGTCGTATAATGGGGTAATAACTGCTATTGAGACACTAGCTGGGGAAAATCTTACTTTAGCTTTTGTAAAGAACAGATTGCTCGATCACGAGATAAAAATTAAAAACGATAGCAAAGATACAAGTAAGAAAGTTATGAAAGCAACTGTGAATAATAAAAATAATTATAAAAATAAATCGTTTAAAAATACCAATACATTTAAAAATTATAATACTTTATCACACCGCTCAATAAGTTCCCGGCCTAAAAATGAAAAAAAAAATTTTTTGAAAATTTTGTTTTATTCATCAATATAGTTTCCATCTACGGCTATACACTCAGTCCAGCGCTTCTCCAACCTTTCTATGCCATATTTGTAGAAAGATGAACTTTTACCCTCAAAATAGGTCTCAGTATCGACAATCAATCGATGCGTTGTTGCTTTTGGTCCGGTGTTAGCAATCGCGGCACCCACTTCGAGCAGAGCTTTCTCATGTCCAAATGTTCATGTAATATCGTAAACACACTGCCTTCCGATATCTTTGAGGCATCAGCTATCTCCTTTAATTTCAATTTGCGATCGGCCAACACCATTTTTCGGATTTTTGCCACATTTTTTTTGGGCGACCACTGCGTTCAGCGTCTTTGGTGTCCACACGACCACGTTTAAATTCATTGTACCAATCTTTAATGGTTGATTTTCCCGGAGAAGAATCTGGGTAATGTTTATCAAGCCAAGCTTTTGCTTTTACTGTATTTTTTCCTATCAATCAGGACACGAAACTCCTTTTTTTCCATATTGTAGAAAAACCCAAAGGTTGTATTACTTAAAAATTTGTAACTTAAAAGCACGTGGTCACAGAATTGTATAATTTTTACACAAAGCTTATGATAATCGACACTTTCGATAAAAAATATCTATATTTGCTTACTACTGCTCCTTATATATCGGGCCGCGAACTAATTGAGCGATGCGATAATTCGCAAGCCATTCAATGCAAAAGGAAAGTTTAACATTAGGTGTCATCACTGTGGCAAAGAAGGGCACATGAAAAAGGATTGTTATGCGTATAAAAGAATAATAAACGATAAAAATAAAGAAAATAACAAACAAGCACAAACAGCAACAACCCAACCCGGCTTAGCGTTTATGTTAAATCGTTTAAATAAAAACATGTCCAAAACCGGCGGTGAAAAAGTGAAATTTATACTGGACTCTGGTGCTACAGACCATCTCGTTAATGACGAGAAACTCTTTGCTGATTCCATCGACTTGGCGTTGCCAATAAAAATAGTTGTCGCATGGCAAATTTATTTTTGCAACGAAGGGCAGCATTATTAGACTGCACAACGGAAATCAAATCACGCTTGAGGATGTGCTTTATTGCCAGGAGTTTGCAGAAAACTTAATTTCTGTCAAGCGACTGCAGGAGGCTGGTATGACTGTTATCTTTGGCAGTCACGACGTAAAGATACGCAAGAATAGTTTTGTTGTTGCTGAGAATTCAGGTACGTTCAATACACCAATTCTTGAATTTAAGGCCTATACATTAAATGTGAAAACTAATGAATATCGTTTATGGCATGAGAGATTAGGTCATATTAATCAAGGAAAATTGCTAGAAATTAAAAGAAATAATTTATTTAGTGACAATAATCTTTTAGATAATGTTTATCCAGTTGATGAGATATGTGAAGCATGGTAAACAAACCAGGTTGCGTTTTGAAAAACATAAAAATAAAGAATACATAAATAGACCCTTATTTGTAATCCACTCTGAGTATGGTATGTGGTGCTAAATTATATAAAAGCTACTGGGGTGAAGCTCTTCTGACAGCAACCTATTTTATTAACAGGATTCCGACTAGGGCACTTGATGATAGTACAAAAACTGCATATGAAGCATGGTACAAAAAACCTGATTTAAAATATTTGAAAATATTTGATTCTACAGTGTATGTTCATATTAAAAACAGGAAAAGAAAATTTGATGAAAAATCATGTAAAACTATTTTAGTTGGTTATAAACCAAATGGTTTAAAACTATGGGACTTAGCTAATGAAAGATTTATTGTCGCAAGAGACGTAATTGTAGACGAAACAAATATGATTAATTCAAGAGCTGTGAAAAGTGGATTGGAATTCCTAAATGAGAGTAAGGAAAGTGATTTAATTGATATCCTGAATGAGAGTAAGGAGTATGATAATGTTAATACCCTGAATGAGAGTAAGGAATGTGATAATAATAATATCCTGAATGAGAGTAAGGAGTGTGAAAATGTTATTATCCCGAATGAGGGTAAGGATAATTATACCGTTTGTATCCTGAATGAGAGTAAGGAATGTGAAAATGTTAATATCCCGAATGAGAGTAAGGATAATGATACCGTTTGTATCCTGAATGAGAGTAAGGAGTGTGGTAATGTTAATATCCCGAATGAGAGTAAGGATAATGATAGGATACTAATTGTTATCGAATCGAATAGACGCACTTTTGTGAAGCTCCGCTTTCACACCGAAAATACCTTAAACACGGCTTTAAAAAAACTAAAAACTGCTTACAACAGCAGCATAAATAAGAGTACAACACATAAAAGTTCGTTTTGCCCGGAATAAATCGGTTCTAAGCTACAAAAATCGCTTCCTAATAAATCCACAATTTTAAGTGCAACAACAAATCATGAAAGAAACAGTGCATAACATAACACAAGAGCACAGAGACAAAACACTCAACACATCAAAACACTCAATCGAAAAACTCTCGTCACCAACACAACACCAACTCAACGAAGAATAAAAACAAAACAAAATATGGTTTTGCCAGAGGGAAAACGCTTGAAAGAATCCTCTGGCTCTAAGCGCGGGCGCCCCTCTGACGCTGCCTATGACACTACCTCACCAATGTTTATCGCGGCAATGAATAGCCGATTTGATGAACAAGCCCAGATGATCAAGTCCACCATCCGTGAGGTCGAGGAGAGGATGCTTGAGGTGCTGCAGGAACGGCTCTTGGGCGTCACCACGGAGATGAAGCAGATGGCCGATCGCATGTTGCAGCTGGAGCAGGAGGTTGAGGAGCTGCGCTCCCTAAAATCCCAAATTGGCACGGTGCAAGGTAAGCTTGACGAACAGCGTGCCGAAAGCGAGGCGTGCGCAGTGCGTATGCATGGCGTTCCTTTTGTTGACGTAGAGAAACTAAGACCGCTGTTTTACAAGCTCTGCTTCGCGACAAACCTTGTTCCGGCTCCGAGAGTCCGCTACATTTTTAGGGTCCGAAAATCACAAAATTCACTGGTCGACCCGCCAATTCTGATAAAATTGGAAACTACGAGGGAAAAAGTTTCACTTCTTCGGGCACTGGCTGACTTCCGGCGCACAACGAAACAGCAACTGAGCATACACCTGTTGGGCTTTGACTCGCCGGCCGCTCTCTATGTTAATGAGCAGCTCACGAGAGTTCATTTCTCCATATTTAAAGAAACCATGCGTTTGAAGAAGCAGAAATCTCTTGCTGCTGTTTTTACGCGCCTTGGGATTGTGCACGTGAAGTGCAGTGGGAGAGAGGACATTTACGTTATCCAGCAACTTGATGAGCTCTCAGCGATCACGGCTGCTGAGTCTGCTCTCGCCCTCTCTGGATCCAGCGCACTGGTTGCCGAAGTTACCCCTCGTACTGCCCAAAATAGCTTTCGTAAATAACATCTCTTATGCAGCTAATCTCTTTATTTTTGTAGTTTTTAAGAGTAATTTTGGTTTTCTAGTGGTAATCTTTTTTCGTTCAAATCTAGCTTGTGCCTTCTCAATTCATATGTGCGTTTCCCACTTTACCTTACCTTATTATAATGCAGGTCAGTACAAATAATGCAACAGCGAGCAGTCTGCTGAGAATTCTGTGTAAACAAAAAGTTGGTCTGAAGATTGTCCACATAAATGCTCAAAGCTTGGTCAGAAAAATGGATGAGTTTAGGGAACTTTTTGTAGGATCAAATGTTGATATAATTTGTGTTTCAGAAACATGGTTTGTAAGTGGCTACAGTGACGTCCCTTTTGAATGTGATGGCTACGTGTTGCATAGGTCAGACAGATTAGAACACGCAGGCGGTGTGGCGAATTTTGTAAGCAACAAATACACTTCGAAGCTTATTAAATCAAACCCGATCGAAGGTAGAGTTGAATATTTGTTTCTGGAAGTCGTAGATCCTAGTTCCAAATCAAAAATGTTAATCTGTTGTATTTATAGACCCCATCGAATGACCGAATATACTGATCTCTTAGAGTCCGTATCAGACATATCTGTGGCGTATGAACCCGTAATCCTGGCTGGAGATCTTAATAGCAATAGGATCAGAAAACAAAGTGTACAAAATGACTTTAACTCTCTTAGCCTAAGCTTGGTAAACTGCCAACTACCTACGCATTTCACAAGTACCTGTATTACCTTTGTTAGTGAACCGTTAAAAAATTCTTTTCTATGACCAGCTGTGTGTGCCAGCGTTCTCTAAACATGACTTGATATTTATGACATATGATTTTATTTCTGACAATTCAACACGATTTTTTAACTGTAGGGACTATAAATCAATCAATCTCAACAAACTACTAACTGAATTTGACAATTATGACTTTACAAATATTTATGACTTGACTTCGCCACAGGATCAACTTCTATTATTTAATTCCAACATTCGACGGTTATTTGAACACTGTGTTCCGTTAAGAACAAAAACACAAAAACCTGCCGCACAGCCATGGTTTAATTTGGAAATTTGGTATAAAACTGAAAGCCTGCACATCATTTTTAAACAACTGAGAAACTTAGTCACAAACTCGATCTCTTCCTCCAAACGAAGATTTTATAATGCTAAATTTGCCAATGCAGAGACTCCTGGTCAAGTTTGGAAGGATTTGAGAAGCCTAGGCATAGGAAAACAAAATGCTAAGGCTAAATCGGACCTTGATGTAGACGCCCTTAATAAGAAATTTTCAGAGGTTCCTTCCGTCATTCCTACACATAATTTGTACCTGAACTCAACAACATCCTGTGATATTATTTTTAACTTTATGTGTGTACGGCCATGTGAAGTCCTTGAATGTATACTTAAAGTAAAATCAAATGCAGAAGGTCTAGATATATTAGTCCCAAATTTATAAAAATGTTGCTCCCAAAACTTATTTGTTCTATTACCCATATTATTAATACATTTTTTACCACGTCAATGTTTCCTGATTGCTAGAAAATTGCTAAAATTTTGCCCGTCTTGAAATCAAAAAAATGAATTTGGACCAATTCCCATCTTGCCTTTCCTTGCAAAGTCTTTTAAGCAATTAGTTGCCCTGCAGATGCAAAATCACCTGGAGAACAATAATCTTCTTAGTTGTAAGCAATCAGGTTTTAAAAAGCACAGAAGTTGTACAACTGCCATTTTAAAGATATCCGACGACATTCGCCAAAAAAAATCGATGACAGCAAAGTAACCCTCCTAACACTTCTTAACTTTAAACTTTAAACCACGAAATACTCTGCACAAAGATTCGCACACTGTACAATTTCTCTTCAAGTGCAATAAGCCTCATCCGAACATATCTCACAAACAGGGTGCAGGCCGTCGTCTCCGGGTCGCAAAAATCTTCATTTCTGCCTCTCACACAAGGAGTCCCACAAGGCTCAGTTTTAGGTCCACTGCTTTTCTCGTTTTATGTAAATCTCCCTAAATGTATTTCTGTTTGTTATGTGCACCTATATGCAGATGATGTCCAGTTATGTTAGCCGTCCCCTAGGTCGAATTAGTGAGTGTATTAGAATTAGCAACAATGAAATAAATGATTGGGCTGAAACGAACGGGTTAAGACTCAATCCATCCAAATCAAAGTGCATTCTAATTCATAAAAAATCAATTGACTTTAGCTGTCTTCCAAAGATTGAGGTAAAAAATGTTGAAATAGAATTTGTTAAACGAGCCACAAATCTGGGAATAAAATTTAATTCCACCTTAACGTGGAATGACCATGTGAACAAAGCCACAGGAAAAGCATATGGCATGCTCAGGCAGCTGTCCTTATTCAGAAACCTTATTCCACAGAATATCAGGATGCTTGTAGCGAAAACCTGCATAATTCCAACGTTGTTTTACGGAATTGAAGTATTTGGTTCCTGTGACGCCATAAGCATGAGAATACTAAAAGTTGCCTTCAACTCAATTGCGCGATATGTTTTAATTTAAACCGCAGGGAGCACATAACATGTTATTCAAATAAAGTTTTTGATTAGCCTTGAGTCATGGATTAAGTTAAAAACCCTATTATTTCTGCGTAAACTCCTGACTAAAAAAGAGCCGCAGTACTTAATTGAACATGTGCAACTGACTTCGTCTGCCAGAACAAACAACATTGTCTGCAAAAGATTAAAATTGGCGATGACCTCCCAAACAATATTAAAACTATACGAAATGAAACGCACTTTAAAAACGTACTTATAAACTATTTAAAGGGCACAAGCTAATTATTATTCTTATTTTAATCTTAATTTTTAATGTCAATCTCATTTTGTTTTAAATTCAATTCATTTCTTTATGTTACTCATGTCACCATAACTTGTTGAAATGTTAAATTGTTATTGTAACGTAATGTAATGTAATTGTACTTCCAGTATTTAAGTTTGAATGTAACAATCATAAAGTGACCAATGAATCTGAAAAGACTTAGTCTTATATAGTCGGGATACTAAAACAAATAAAATTAAATACCGTTTGTAACCTGAATGAGAGTAAGGAGAAAGATAATATGAAAATCCTGAATGAGAGTAAGGAAAATGATAAAATAAATTTCCAGAATGAGAGTAAGGAAAATGATAAAATAAATTTCCAGAATGACAGTATGGAGAAATGATTTGACTCAAAACAGCTCAGTGAAAATATTGAACGTATTTCTAGAAGAAGTGATGGGCTAAAGAACAGGCAACAAATATCATACAAGGAAGATGAAATAGATTACAATAACTATATTTTAAATGCTCATACAATCTTTAGTGTTGTTCCAAGTTCCTTTGAAGAAATACAAAGTAGGAGTGACAAATCTTTATGGGAGTCTGCTATTAAAACCGAATGGGATGCCCATAAATTTAATAATACCTGGTTAATTGTTAAGCGGCCTGAAAATATAAATATTGTTGATAGAAAATGGGTTTTTACTTTAAAGTCCGACGAATTTGGAAATCCAATAAGACATAAAGCTAGATTAGTGGCGCGTGGATTCACGCAGAAGTATCTTGTAGATTATGAAGAAACATTTACTCCTGTGGCTAGAATAGCCAGTTTACGCTTCTTATTATCTATTTCAATTCAATATGATTTCAAAATACATCACATGGATGTAAAAAGTGCTTTTCTAAATGGGAAATTAAAAGAAGAAATCTATAAGAAATTTATAAATCAAGGTGTATTGTGTAGTACAAATAGTGTATGTAAATTGAATAAAGCAATTTATGGTCTCAAACAAGCAGCAAGATGTTGGTTTGAGGTATTTGAGCAAGCACTAAAGGAGTGTGGGTTCGTAAACTCACCGGTAGATCGATGTGTTTATGTCCTTGATAAGGGTGACGTAAGAAAGAACATATACTTACTTCTTTATGTAGATGATTTAGTTATTTGCACAGCAGATATAGAAAAAATGAAATCATATCATATTTAATGAACAAGTTAGAATGACGGACTAGTAAGAAATTCGACATGTTATTGGAATAAGAATAGAAATCAAAGATGGAAAAATATTTTTAAGTCAAGCTGCTTACATTAAAAAGATTTTAAATAAGTTCAAAATGAGTGATTGTAAAACAGTCAGTACTCCACTAGCAAGCAAGCTTAATTATGAATTATTAAATTCTGATTAATGGTATGATGCGCTTTGTAGGAATTTAGTCGGATGTCTTATGTATGTAATGTTATGTACACGTCCAGACTTAGCCACCGCCGTTAATATTTTAATTCGATATATGAATAAAAATAATGCAGAATTATGGTTATGTTTAAAAAGGATTCTTAGATATATAAAAGGGAATATAGATATAAAATTGGAATTTAAAAGGAATACAAGTTTTGAAAATATATTTGTCGGGTATGC